GGGGGGGGGGGGGGGGGGGGGGGGGGGGGGGGGGTTAGGTTACACTCACAATTAAATAATTGAAACAATTAGCTGGTTTGACATTTTAATTGATTATTGTAATATTTTCACACTGATATTGTAATTTGTTAATTTTATTTTTAACTTTATGAAAATAATGTAATCAAAGAACTATGACCATATATCAAAATACTGTTAATAAAATTGTATTTTATGTGGATGTAGTTAATTAAATATATTCATCAACAGTTTGTGACTTCTCTTTCCCAACACATTGCTCAATGGTGCTTTATTTCTGAAAAAATATGTGAGAAATTAATATTACACTAAAACAACCAGATACCTTATATAACAATTGTTGTCAATGGTTATTGTCCGACACTGTGTCCCAACATTTTAACTGCTATTAATCCAACACAATATTACACATGATTGTGTACACATAACATTCTTGCTAACAATAAGCAATTTACATAAACCTTGCCTGCACCCGACCCTAACCTTAACTGGCCCTCATCCTAACTGTTAAGGCCACCTGTTTGCACAAAGCCGGTCAGTCAATGCTCTTGAAATTCCACTCATTTTCAAGAACCCGGGGCTTAAGCAGATATATGCTACTAACAAGGTGATAGTGTTGACAACGGGACCCCAAGGACTTGCTTGAATTCAACTGAAATTAATTTTCAATTGTATCATTTTAGCATGTTGAAAAAATGGGGAAAATAGTTCAGACAAATAGTATGTAAATATTGGGGTTCAGTGTCAGGCGAACAGTCACTGTGTAAAATATTTTCCTCCAAAAATACATGATCAATTACCAACATCAAATATCAACAAGAATGTTATGCTTGTGTACTCTGATCGTATATCCACACCGGACAGGCTTGAAAAATATGCCTAGCCACGGTGGGAATCGAACCTACAACCTTTGGAATACTAGCCCAATGCTCTGCCAGCTGACCTACGCGGTCAGGTCAGTTCGAACCGACCTGACTGCGTCGGTTCGAACCGACCTGACCGCGTAGCTCAGTTGGCAGAGCATTGGGCTAGTATTCCAAAGGTCGTAGGTTCGATTTCCACTGTGGCCAGGCATATTTTTCAAGCCTGCCCGGTGTGGATATACACTCAGAGTAACATTACAAGCATCTTATTCACCTGAGTACATTACACCAACACAGCAAATATCAACAAGAATGTTTCATATTCTTAACCCATTAAGCTGCAGAGCTTCCCCATTGACGAGTAAAATCCATAGGCGTACAGGGATTGTAATGAAATTGCCTGAATTCAACCTATTTTCTGTTAAATCTGCCCGAATTTTCTTGATTTTTCCTAGCATTTGCCCATTTGCCTATGGTAATATCGTCTGGCGTTAGACAAGTAAAATACAAGTAGGGCGCACTATATATATGAAACTAGCTTCAACAGAAGTTGGTAGAATTGAACTGCCAGTTTTTGGATCTTGATAGGCAGTTGATAATTCTACACATTAAAATTTCATTGCCATCAGTGACCAGTTACATGGATTAAATCATTCAAAGCCATGATAGTTCTGGCTTAAAAAGGTCTTCCTCTATAGGTATACTATTATACAATAGAAAACACTTTGATTTTAATAAGTAGGATCAGGCCACAATTTGTTGTATATTAGTTTCTCATCCCCGCCCGCATGCTTTTTAAGAAAAAGGTCTTGTTCGCCATTATTACCATTATTGCCATTTTTGACCATTATTATAAATTTTGTGGTGTCTTCAAAATGATATTTGAAAGAAAGACAATCAGGAACGTTCCCAAACCAAAAGTTTCAGTTACGATACGAAATTTCATACCAAAACTGCTAGTTGCTCTCGCATTTACGTAAAAGTCTACCGGAAGCCAGGGGCAGGGAAAAAACGCGAGACGACTTGGCTACAAAATTATTTCTCTATTCCGTGATTATTTCACATGTGGTCATGTGGAGCGGTCATGTTTTTAATATAAAAACATGGTTTCAGTTGCAATTCACTAATTTTGGGCTGTTTTGCAATGCTATAAATAATGGCATAATGGTAATGGCCCGCCCGCCCGCATCAACTTTAAGTGAAGCCCCGGATGAGAAACTAATATGCAACAAATAGTGGCCTCATGAAGCAGATGGTGGTCAAAAATGACATTTTATATCGTAAAATTTGAAATAACAAATGAAACTAAAATCTGAAATTTCAACCATTTTCTTTAAAGGAAGACTGTTTCTTGTATTAATATAGTTTGGGCAACCTAATTGTATACATCAGTTGCTAAAATTGTCCACTACACAGTACAAATAGGCTGTTTATTTCGCTTTGTTTTGACCTACTCTATCACACTGAAAATCACAAGTAATATAAAAGTATTTTTTACCTTTACAAAATAACGTCTTTCCAAAATTTCTTGGGGTTTGAAGATTCATTCACTGTCTTTCACTAGCCAGGATGATTCTTACTACTTGTGCAACTCGAAACAAATGTTAAAATGTCGAAGAGAAGGCAAACACCGAGGCAAACTCCAAAACAAAAGCTAAAATATTTTTTCGAAAATCAGGGGGATGCGAAAGTGGTAGCGGGCTCAAAATGAGCCTTGCTCAGTGGCAATTACCATGAGGATTTGGGACCAGTGGCGTCATTCTGGCGTCAGCAAACGTGAAAATCCGCCATGTTTTTGGCTTCACCTTTTGATGCCGAGCACTTCCTCCAGTTTCAGTGGGCGTCACACAATTTAAACGGTCCCCTCATCGGCTCCCAGTCTCCTTGCAGTCCTATACTGCTTGGTCAAAAGTTTGTTTTAAGTTTTTGATCGAGGTTTCCCGCAATTTGTACCAAGATTTAACATGATTTCGCCGCTTGGGAACTGAATAAACATGTGGTCATTGGATTTTCAGCTTGTCTGGTGTGGAGCCACTCCATTTTGCAGAGAATTCATATATTTTGATGGACCTCAGCTATGCATGTAATTGCCACATATTCTTGACGACGTTTACAGTTTTTACTCGTGCGACCTATGTATTTTAGCCAATCCAATCTCCCCGCGCGTATTTTAGCCAATGCAATCCCAATTTGTTTGTCGTTCGATCATTCGGGTCGTGTTTTCTGACGTCACAGTAGAATGACGTTGTGTACAAATTTATATACGCGGGAAGTTTACGATGACAATTCGATCACTTCCGAAAGCTGTGTTCGGTGCACCGTCAATCTCGTACCCAGAGCAATGCCTGTGCGCGGGCGAGGAAGGCATTGGCTCTGGGGAAATAGACAACCGGAAGCCCTCAATTTAGGGGTTCCAGTTGTTGTCGGCATGCACTGTTGATAAACGTTAAACCAATCACAGGACAGGAAAAATTCTATTTCCCCAGAGCCAATGCCTTCCTTGCCCTTGCACAAGAATTGCTCTGGGTACGAAATTGGTGCATCGCATAAAAGAACCAGTGAATTTTGACTTCAGGCTGAAGTGATTCTTATATAATCTTACTTCACACTATACTTTTTTCTATTCTACACATTAACTAGGGACTGTAGTTGCATAAAACTATTGCTATGACACAAATATGGTTCTCGTTAATATATCTAAACTTAAAAAAAAATTAAAACTTGTATTTTGGGTACTTAATTGCCCAAATTTCATGCTAGTGGTTCTTAACCTACTGGTTCTTTCATGCGGGGCTTTACTGTATATCAATAGACCATATGCATAATGATGTCTCAAGGTTTGATGCCTTCGAGGAATGCTGGTCTTAGTTGTCATCACCTAGGAAAATTTCGATCTTGGCCATTTTGAATTGTTTAATTTTCCCTGGCGATGATTACTAAGACCAGCATTCCTCGCGGGCATCAAGCCTTGTGACGTCATTATGCATAAGGTCAATTGAGCAGTATGATGTCCGCATTGGAACACACAATTGTATACGAATGAAAAATTATCTGACTTGTTTTCGATGATGCTCACAATTTCTTTCTTATTATATAGTTTTGCAGTTCTGACTGAGTACAAAATTACAAATATACAATCTTAATCATTTATACAATGAATGTTGTTATTATTATTTATTTATTTATTATTGTGCTGGCTGCGGGCGGCCTATCGCTTTAAATCCATCTCTGTCGCTGTTTTCCATCGACGAGAAATCGACTTTCCATCAAGGTATCGCAGGCTCAGAATAAGAAACATTTCATGTAATTCCTCGAGCAGGTACGTTCTACAAATGTGCTAGTCGATTTCGATTTGTAACTGTTTTTTCAGCGCAAAAAACACATAATTTTTCAACTCGAGTTTGATTGTTTGAGGAGCCAAATTGTAGACCCAATGAGATTATTTCAATAATTGAATAGCTTTACATGCCTTCTCAACCGTGCAAAAATGCATTTTCCACATCAACTTTCACTCTATCCGTATCTGGAGATTTTCGTAAAAATAGCACAGAGAAGGTATTTATACTGGACAATTAAAAACTAAATTTTCTTGCTGTGCTTTAATATGGAAATACCTGAATATATCCACTTGTGTTTTACCAATAAATAAATAAATAAATAAATAAATAAATAAATAAATAAATAAATAAATAGATAAATTAGCATGACAAAATTACTGGATACTGATTGGTTGAGAGGAGTTCAGTAGTACAATTAATGATTTTACCAAAATAAACAAAATGGCGGAAAGGTATTTTAAACACAAATGTGAAATGAAATTGCCCTAGAGGAACTAGATGAAAATACGAACAAAAGCACCAAATTTTGCTTGAACAAAAGAACTAAATTAAAATACAAACAAAAGCACCAAATTTTGGTTGAAAGTCTGGCAGGACTGGGCTTTGGCGAGAGATATATGATGTTGACATTGAGAAGTACGTATCCAATTTTGTCATGCTAATAATAAACAAGTAATCATGCGATGTTGCTCGTACAATTAGGGATTAATTAGTACTCGTGATGTTTGGAAATTTGCCAATTTTGGCAAAATTTCCAAACATCACTCGTACTATTAATCCCTAATTGTACTCGCCATCGCATGATTACCTATACAAATAAATAAATAAAGTCATGTTATTACACTAGAAGTGATTTAAGCACAATATTTAATTGCTGAGCGACCAACCATAAAATGCATGTTTCCATTTTCAGCAGGCCACCGTGAACACTTGAGCCGGCGTCTTGCTTAACATATAACCTTGGGGCCATTTACCCACTCCCCCCAGTCTCCCATTGTGTCACTCCACAAAATTAATTTTGGCCCCTCCCCCAAAATAAATCATTAATTTTGTACACACAGTACATGCATAATTCAGGCAAGAATTGTTGACTAATTAACAATAATCATTAAAATTGGAAGCATTTCCTACCATTTAGAGAGTGCATTAAATTTGAAGATGCTTTAGGCAAGCGTGTCCTAGATCGCGCGGGTATAAGCTACAGACAGCTAACAGTTACGAGCGGCCGAAGCGGACCTTTTTTAGGATATTTCCGTGCAGGGCCCCGGGGGAAGGGCGTTCTCCAAAATGGCCTTTTTAACCACTGAGCCACTGTGGCAGAGCATAGGTCAGGTTAGTAGGATTTAACAAGCCAAGAAGGCATGTCCCTAGCTAATCTGGAGGGTCCTACCAAGTGATCCGCATTCCAAACTCTCTTTTCTTTTGGTTTTCAATTACACTCTGACATGCAGGTTTTCATTTTTCGGCCATCGCGAACGCCTGAGCAGGCGTATCGTTTATTTATTAGTTTCGCCATATTACAATACACAATACTATAACAAGAACAAGAATAATATACATGACTATAGGCAGGGTGACCGCAACAGCGTGAGCCAATTGCTGCGGGCCCGAATTAGGACATACAAACACAAAAAAAGACTATCTGAATAAAACTCATCTGAAGCTGACGTATTAAACAAAAATGTCAACAAAATAGATTTGTCTCCCCATCAGCAGATTGTTCAGTTGTTCTGCGGTAGGGGTAGCCTTGAAGGTGCCATTAAAACGATAATTGGGACAAAAACTAACTTACCGGTAGTATTCCTATGTATGAAATTGTTATTAAATTCTACATATCCAATGATTCATTCAAGTATTATTATCGTTTGTATATATTGATATTGTACCGTATTCAGTGGCAAGCTAGCCATGACAACTGGTCATGCTATGCTAATAAACCTGCATCTATTTGAATAATGCAAATCATTCAAAACTTGCATGGCATAACCTGGTGCTATGGCTATATATAGCTTTACCATTAACAATACAGAAGCAAGAAATTATAAGCATTGAAGGTATAAAACCGTCCATGCCAAGAAAGTAGAATTAGAATATTTAACTGACCTTCGACTTTGTGCAAGGTGCTTTCGTATTCAAATTGCACTTTTCCTACTGTCCTGAATAGGTGTCTTAGCGGTGCTTTACGTGCTCATATGATGGAAGGCAGGATGAGGCAGCACTTTCCTTGCGATAGTAACTTCTAGTATATAGTTTCTTTCTGATCTGTAAAGACGTATGGAGTGATTTTATTTGGGGGGGGGAGCAACTTAATAATTTGTGACGTCACAATTCTAAGGGCCATCCTAAGACATGCTTCCCCGGGAAAATGATAAAATTGAATTTTAGGTTTCTGAAACCAGGGACGCTGGAAAGGGGGGGGGGGCAGAGGGGGCATCGCCCCCTCGCCCTTTAGTAAGGGGGGCAGAGGGGGGAAGAAAGTGCCCTTATAGATAAAAATTCTAACCCAGAATTGCCAAGTTTTTGTTATAAAATAGGTAATTGGATAAGTATTGGTGTAAGACATCGTGTGCCTATATAATGAGATAATCAGTATCCAAAATTGGTTCTTATTTACTCCAACCACTGTAGGCTATTGCATTCTGTAGTCGCTCCCCAAATTATTTGCGTTCTCAAAAAACTGTTTACGAAAATATTTATTTTATATATATTCCAAACAATTTTGCAGATACTCCGACAACCAAAGATCACAAGATGCGTTAAACATGTCGCTCTTTCACTGGGGCGTACACGCCTGGGTGGTTTATTCTCTTGTTGGCTTGTGCATGGCTTTTGTTACCTACCGAAGAGACCTTCCTATGACCATGCGTTCCTGTTTCTACCCACTTTTGGGTGACTGGATCTACGGAATCGTTGGAGACGTTATCGATATTATATCAATTGTATCGACCATGTTTGGTGTATGTACAACACTCGGACTGGGAGCCATGACCATCAATTCTGGCGTGAACCGCGTTAACAGCGACTTTAGTGAGAGCGTTGATAACCAGATTATTATTATATGGGTTGTCACCGCAATGGCAACCATTTCAGTCATAACTGGGCTGAAAATGGGTGTGCGTCGCCTGAGCGAAATTTGCTTTGGTCTCGGTGTGGCGTTGATGCTTATAATCCTATTCTATGACAAGACATTCTTTCTTTTGAACTTATACGTACAGAGTATTGGTTATTACCTGCAGAATTTCTTACAAATTGGTTTCCACACCGAAGCCTTTGCGCAGCTAGGCAATGCGCCGGATGGAAAACAGGCACCAGAATGGATCGATACGTGGACCATCTTCTACTGGGGTTGGTGGATATCTTGGTCACCATTTGTTGGTATGTTCATTGCGAGGATCTCGCGTGGTAGAACTATCAGATCGTACATCAACGCAACTCTCACCGCACCCATCCTGTTTTCCTTCTTATGGTTTACCATATTTGGCGGCGCCGGACTTAAGATGGAACGCGAGGCAGCGTTGAAAGGGATCAACTGCTCCGATGAATTTGGTGGGACGAATTCAACCGAACCTCTGGGAAATTATTCCGATTATCATGTCGTGGTGAGGCGCAGATGTACTTTGACGTACTGCAACAATATGGTGACATTGGTCAGTTTCTAAATGTTCTATCACTTGTCGCAATTGTTTTGTATTTTGTCACAAGCTCAGATAGTGGCTCCTTGGTCATGGATTCTCTGGCGGCTAACGGAAATCCTGATCCTCCAATAATACAACGAATCTTTTGGGCGTTGACGGAGGGGGCATGTGCGACAGCGTTGCTGAAAGTCGGCGGTAAAGCTGCACTTGATACAATTCAAACAGTATCGGTTGCTGCAGGTCTACCTTACGCCGTGTTAGTCACCGCTATGTGCGTCTCACTCTGGCGCGCTCTGAAGGAAGAAAATGGCGATGTTACTCCAGATAGAAGTACAGATAGAAAGTTTAACGTATTTCTTTTTGATATCCTTCTGTTTCCATCTTTGAACAATTTCAAGAGATTCCTAACTGCTCTTTTAGCACCATGGCTACCAGCAGGCCGTGCTGCAGGCAAGGTATATCGCAAGAAGCCCTGGTCTTACATGGTCATTATGGCGGTACTATTTTACGGCTGGGTGATATTGCAGGTAACGGAGATCTTTGCAAATGGTCTTGCCTACGTTGGATGGGTTGTCTTGTGCGGTTTCCTCACGTATGTCATAGGGTTGCGAAGTGTTATCCGCGAGGAATGCGGCCTGCCAGGCAGTATTATAGCTGATGGTCTAACGGTCATGTTCTACCCTTTTGCCGTGGATCAACTGGACAAGCACATGCTGATCGAACAACAGCAAAAGAAAGACGATCCGAATTGTACTGGTATTGAAAACAAGCACGCCGTTGATATACGAGCTGTGCAATCTCCAAACAACACTGCTTGCACTAAATTGTAATTTACAGTAACATAGTTAAAGGTGATATGGCACGAATTATTTTATTGTACCCAGGGCCGCCGAGTGGGGGGATAGGGGCCAATTTGCCCGGCCCTCAGCTCCAACTGGGCACCCAAAGCGACGAAGGCCCTTAACATTTCTTCATACAAGATATAAGTCCTATCTGAGTCAGTGCCGGATAATATGCAAAACAGCGAAATATGTCGCAAATACACCGCTTTTCCTGTTTTACAATTATAACGTCATAGGAGCCACTGGGGAAGCTCTATGACGTCATAGGGACCCCTGGGAAGGTTTTGCCCCGGGTCCCGCTCAACCTGTCGCTGGCCCTGATTCTTCCATCTGGAAAAATTTTAAGAACTGTATGGTAGCTTCTTTTACACATTTTCCTTTACGTTCTTCTCTGAAAATTTAATTTTCTTAGTATGCAGTGCAAACAAATTTACGTCCCACCTTGCACGATGAGTGTCACGAGCTAGCAGATTTTTGAAAATGTATGTGTTTTTGTATCATTTTGAAAACTGCATACGTATGCTTCACATTATTCACAGCATAACGTATGTCACGGCATGTGAATTTTCAAACGATTTAATAATAACTTATAAAAGTGATAACCTGGCATTTAATGATAGCTCATGCAAATGTGGCGGAAATTTGTTTGCACTGCTTATCAAGAAAACTAAATTACCTCGGCTACGAAGAACGTAAATGAAAATCTGCAAAAGAAATTACTTTACAGTTTTGACGATAAACAATTCGTGTCATGTCACCTTTAGAAATCACATATGCACCGCACCATCCAATGCATTATACATTCTTATATTTGATTTATTATAAATATTTACAAGTGTCGTCCACTAAAATCAATCGAGATACAGTCTCACTGGGAAAAAAAGTGAAATCCATACTACGAAATTTGCAATTGCAATTGCACCACTAAATCCATAGTATATCCATCCTATTTCCATACTATATCCATACTATGGAAATATACAATTATTATGGTTAACCAAAATCCATTCTATTTCCAATAAAGGTCCATACAATTTCCATTCTATGACATTCTGTGGATTTTCAAAATTTTTTCCAGTGTCTGGAAACTCGGCAAACATCAAAACATCTATAATGAGCTACGAATTTATATTGAGACGACCCTAGTGATCCCAAATGATAAAATCTGAAACGGTCGGTGCCAGTGTGGGTAGCGGTGATAACAAAAGCAGCGTTATGGAGAAATACAACTACCTGAAGAACATTAGGGAGTTGGCGCATGTAAGACGGCGACGTCAGAACGACGGCTATCAATACAATGACATTTATACTGGCAGGGGTGTTGACAACGGCAAAATGCATATTTTCACGTCAGTATAGCACGCTAGCATTTCAAGCCGTGACAGATCTGAGCTACATATATATATATATCTGGAGAATCTTGTCATTTTAAACTATATCCTAAAGTCCGGCGCACACGACTGTTGGCGTAAGCAAGTTCCCCCAGTGTGCGTTGGCGTTTTGAGCGATTTCAGCCACGCGTGCCATCGGCACAGAATGTTCAACATGTTGAATAATTTCAGTCACGAATGAACATTTCCCCCAAATGTGCGCGCTCGAGAAGCTATCACCTTTTATTGTAAATGAATAGGCATGCGTAATAAAACATATAAAGACAAAAGGAACATAATTATGAGGAATATTCATATGTCGCTACTCAAGTATTACATTCCTCATTAATTATTTTCCTTTTGTCTTATCTTTTATTATGCATGCCTTTTCGATCTACAGTGAAAGTGATAGCTTTTCGAGCGCGCACATTCGCGAATGTTAATTCGTGACTGAAATTATTCAACATATTGAATATTCGGTGCCGATGGCATGCGTGGCTGAAATCGCTCAAAACGCCACCGCACACTGGGGGAACTTGCTTACGCCAACAGTCACGAGTGACGCTCAGCTCAGCTGATAGCTCCAGTGTGGGCCGGTATCAAAGCACAAAAAAAAGCGCTGTATCAAAGCACAAAAAATTCCTCAAGAAATCGATGACTATGCATTCGGGAAAAATACGTAAAATCATACATATTGTTGGCTCCTAGTATTTATATCCTTAATACGGAATTCCTACGACGAAGGTGTAAACCAAAAATCATGTAATAATTTTAAATGTTCAGCCACTCAATCATAATGTACATGTTTTATCTTTGAACTGTTATGTTTTTCATATTGCAATATAAAATGTATATTAGAAATAAGATTGTATGGCGTGATGTTTCGATTATAGGGTCAGTATAGGAACCTTAAGAAAGCAGGACGGCAACGCGACGACTACGGCAGCGTTTACACTGTACCGTTTTCGTAGCGTTCTCGTATTGTTCTTAATCCTCAAGGGAACGCAAGACAATAGTCTAGTTCTCTCGAACAATAGGAGAACGCTACGAAAACGGTACAGTGTAAACGCTGCCTACGGCTATTCACACAATGCTATTTCTGGTCTCTTAGAAAGGGAATGAATAATTAAAAGCCACACGTACTACGCCAGAGCAGTTTGAAAATGGCGCCGAATAGTCACAGTTAGCCATTTCCCAAAGTCCTGGGTCTAGTCGCACAAATCCCATGTTGGAGGGACAAGAAATATGGCAGCACACATTTAAATTAAAAGTTTAGAGATATTTCATTTTTGGTCGTCCAAAAGTTGATATTAGATAGTAGAACTTCTACTCTTTCACATATTTGACGCCTGTCACCATACATTTTGTCCCTCCAAACGATCCCAGAATGCACTGTGATCTCTTTTGGGAAAAGACTATTGCATGGCCGTACGCCGGGGCGAAATTGTTTGAAAACGTCATTTTTGGCCGTAACAATTTGAGTACGGTCTCTAAACGGAGCGAGATGAAAACAGACCCCTTGGGGGTTTCGTGTGAATACAAACACCATTACTTTTATGTACCACTTACAAACCAAGCATCTCAGGTTTAAAAACAATATGCTTTGCGTTCAAATTTCATTCTTTGCTCTAAAATTGGGTTTACATGAGTGCTAATTAATTTGGAAACAAACTATAATGGAGTAGTGTGAAGATACGTAAATTCTTTTGTCTTGAATTTCTGGCCATGGATATAAAAGAAATCTAATTTTCAACACAAAACGAAATGCATTGTTCTTAGTGAGACATCCGCCTAGATTCCTTCGGCAATAAGATAAATATTGTGATTAATTGAACATGCTAGCTTGGAGTATAGTACGGTATTATAAAATTCAATTCAATGTTATGTTATTGTTATTGTTATATTCCCAAAGCCTTAGCCAACAACTTTATGACTGAATTAAGTTATTAATATATAGCTAAGAAATGTTAGTTAGTTGAACCTCCCTCCGCTACTAAAACTAGAGATCCAAGGATAGTGTAAAGTTTCAAATTGAAAAAGACACTGCAAGAACTATATAGGGTCGCCGACAACCTAGAACAGTAGGAGCAGGCACAGGCTAGAGCAGGCATAGGCTAGAGTAAGCACGTTATTCAAAAGTGTGGATTAAAACAACGTTTTTAAGAGATAAACAATTCCTTGTTACTCCCTTTGTAACTCGTTTTAAATGTTGAATTGCAAGAGCTCTTATTTGGGCATGACGACTTTCTGGCTGTAAAGCTGATGGCTTACACTGCGAAATAAACAGTTACCATAGGCATTTCATCTCATCTATTGTTTTTAATGCGTTCGGCACATGAGTAGCGAGACGTTTGAAAGCGTTAATTGGAAAAATCCGCTTCTTGCATCAATTTTTGCAAAATATTTTGAGCCATTCAAGGCATCCAAACTGTCTTCAACTTTGGGAAGGACATATCGTTCCCTTACAATGGCTTTATTTAACTCTCTAAAATCACAGCAAACCCTTAAACCTCCTGATGCCTTAGGCACCACTACAAGATTAGAAACCCAAGGGCTTGGTTCGGGTACCTCTTCAATGACGTCCTCCTTCAACATTTTATCAATTTCATCATTTATTATATTCATTTTGAAATCAATGGTGTTTCATGCAATCTGATTGGTTCACAGGAGTGCGATTTTGCCGATAAACTGTTTTTACTTAATAAAACATAATAAGTTTAATACAAATAAAACAAATTGTTAGGTAATTTCAGTTCAGTCTTCAAATCAATTTGTTCTCCTTTACATTTGAAGATTTTTTCTCAAATTAAACGGTAATTTATGAAACTAAGAGCTTCGTTAAAAAGGAAAACAGTTCATGTTTTTAGACAAAAAGTTTAAGCAACAAAATTCGTAAACATTAAGTATTCAAAGCAAACTTGCCGTATATTTCACGATTTCCCATAGTAAATCAATTCTTCTCATTTCTTCAAACAAAATTGCTTCAAGCTTGTTGTATATGAAACGATTTTCCAAATATATGTCTTTTAAAATTGAAATCTTGCTTATCCCACTCCTACAAGCAATCAGTCATATTTTTGAGATCAGTGAGGATGACCACCGATGACCACCAGATGACCACCCACTCAACATTGTTGGTGAGCGCCCGCGATCATTGATGAACTTTAGACTTCGCTAATGCTTTCGTTTCCCCGGGTGTAAATAGCCGGGGGAATTAGTACCCTCGCGCGCCGTCGGCTCGGGGATAAACACCCGCTTCTGTTTAATAGTTGTTTTATTTGCTCTACTGATCTGATGCAATTTTTCGCCTTTTGTACTGAGTGTAGCCATCTATCCTGTGGTATAAATGAATAGACGGTCTAAATAATATCGACACTTAATTGAATGCCGGTAATGCATAACATCAATCTATGTATTGCGTAGAATCTCAAAGATGTTCTCAGTATTCATGTCTGAAATGTTTATGCATTTGAAAACAACACTGTCTCGCTCCTTCCTAGCTTTGTATAATGAATATACCGTCCAAATAATATTGGTACTCGATTGAATGCGCATGCCCATAATCGGCATAACATCAATTCATATATTGCGTAGATTCTCAAAGATTAACTCAATATT